CCGGCAGCGTGGCCCACCGCGGCGCGGGGGCACCCTCGGCCGTGCGTCCTGCCCTCCCGCCGCCTGTTGGCTCCGCTCCGCGGGACCCCGAGAGCCCTGCGCTGCCCCGCGCGACGGCCCTTGCTGTGTCACCGTCCCCTGCCGTCAGCCCCTCCTGTTGGGCCACCCGGGACAAATGCTGCCCTTCTCTCATGCACAGTGCAGCATCGAGCACCATGGGGCACTGTTCACTTCCCCCACGCGTACCCAGAAGGGCAAGACCAACACAATGCACAGCACCCGCACTGCACGCCACCGCCTCACACGTCATCCCCAGCATGCCCCCACCGACACTGCTGAAATCCCAGCTCCGCAATGCCTCCTGCCAGCCCCACGAGTCCCGCCACCATGAGCAGACCCTGTTGCTAGGACGTGCATTTGGGTCCCAGCACTGCCTGGACCACTCGCACGCAACCAGGAGAGCTCCCTCTGCAAGCTCCCTTGCTTGCCCTTGCCAGCCCTCACAGCCTGCATCCAGGCACCCAGAGCTGGTGACAAAGCAGACTCGCAACCTACGTGTTCACCCTGAAGCCCAGCCCTGGGCTGGCATCTCCTTATTGCAGCTGGTGGGACACAAGATTCACCTTGAGAGATGGGTTGGGGAACCTCAGTTGTCCCTGGCTGTGCTTCATGACCCACACAGGACAGTGGCTGCTTCCTAAGGGCAGGGAGCTTAGGGTGACCCTGGGCAGACCTTGCCATAGTGTGGGGTGCCACCCTCCAGGGGCTGAACACAGCAAGAAGAGCCGCGAGCTGCTCACGGGCTCCAGCCCCACAGGAGGCAAGCGATGAACCAAGCCCAAGGTCCATGCAGGGCACCCAGGCAGGGCTAGGGACAGACACAGCAGCACAGCCCAAGGCACAGCTGGCTGCCTGTGGCTGACCTCAAATGGGGCACAGGCAGAGGGTGAGGGTCCAGGCTCAGGTGAAGCAGCTTAGGGCCATTAAGGCCTATCCGTGCCCCCAGCCAGGCTCCTGGGGAAGCTGCCAGCATCCGTGGCATCCACGTCACTTCCTCCTGCTGTTGGATCCCAGAAGCATGGGACACCTCGTGCCCTGGGAAACGGTGCTGGTTGCCATGCCTGAGGAGAGCACCCCACCACGGGGCATCAGCGGGGGCGCCGCTGGACGAGGTGTCCCCACGGAGTGCCGGTCCTCCCGCTGTTCATGCCTCCTCTGGGAGCCAGTCCCCCGTGCCAGCACGCACTCGAGTATCGCACACGGCACAAAGCTTGGCAGCCCTGCCAGCTTTTCTCCACTTCTCCTCCCAGCCCATGACTCCCAACGTGGCGCATTTCATGGTTCCATAATAACTTGCAAATTACCCAATACAAAAGGAACTGTTTATACAACATT